CATACACTCGAGCTACAACGCTTCGAATACAACGCCTCTCAGCTATCACTTGATTAGTTTCCAATAAAAATTGGCAATAAACTGAACCTTAGAAGATAATGGGGGTAACTTAAATATCTCAACGAATTAATTTCTCACAAACTAATAAGTAAAAAATTGATACTTACAGAAATTTTAATTAGCTAAATATCCGGTAAGTAGAGTTGTAAGTTCAAATTACGCTTGGTTTCAATTTTCACTTTTTAATAAGAAATGTATAATATAATAGGACAGTTTTCCTTCTTTACAATATACGTAGCTAAGAATACTACTTATCTCACTAAAAACTATTTTAAAAGTACCTGAGCTCCCTAAGAAGGAATTCTCAAATGTCATACTTATTATTAACATGGTAAAGAAACAGTCAAAAGGTAGCTACTATTTCTGATTAACCTAAAAGCATAAAAAAGCAATGAAGTGAAACATTTAACACATCATGTTATAAACTATAAACATTTTATGTTTTTTTACTGTGCTAATTATGTTTGATTTGTCTGGTATTCTTTATTAATCACTGATTTTCCGAACGTTTACTTTTTTAAATAAATATATACTGAGTTGAAGTTTATAGTGTGTACACAGGTTGAGTACATTATCTTAATAAAAAGACTTTGGAGTCTCACCACGTCGTTGTAGTTCATGTTGTCATGTCCGATCATTCTATATCTAACGATCGTTCATCTTGACAATAGCCTTAAAGCATAGTTTCCATTGCAAAAAGTTCCCAGTAAGACTGTTATGTCACTCCTCACTACATGTTTTGCATAATCCAGAAAAAGAAGGTTTTCCAACGTCCATTTCAACAGTCAAATTCGATGACGAGGAACCCACTTTGAGACTAATAATGGCTGGAGACGGCTTAAATGGGTAATGAAGAAAAACTTTAATATAACTTTAACAAGTTATATGATGATGACAAAACCTTGTCGAAACGTTGTACATTTGCTGTCATGTTAAAGTTATATTAAAGTTTTTCTTCATTACCCATTTAAGCCGTCTCCAGCCATTATTAGTCTCAAAGTGGGTTCCTCGTCATCGAATGTGACTGTGTATGTT